TACAGTAGTTGCAGTTTATGCTGTAAAATCTGGAGCATTCCATTTTGTTGACTCCAGCATTTTATGTTGTAAAGCTGGTGAAGAGGGTTGCCTTTCCTTCAGGACTGTACGAACGCTTTATTTCCATAGTATCAGCCGTAGCTTGCGAGCCAATTCGCAGGAAAGCAGACTTGTTAAACGCTTTTATCTGTTTCTCTTGCTTTACTTTCATAATCTCCGTCGTTCCATCTCTTCATCACCATCCTTATGTTGTGTTGTATTGCTTCTTCTTGATATCTGTTTCTAAGAGTCATTTAAGTTAGTTTTTCCAGTCCCTCTTGTGAGACCTATCAATCAGTAAGTCGTAGGCTTCTTATGGTAATACTCCTGAGTATCCCAATCTTCATTCAACAAGTATGATGAGACTGGAAGTTAAGGATTATTCATGCATGTGATTTATTTCGGAAAAGCCGCTACTTAAGAGTCTTCTCTGAACGAATGACATCCACATTCAAGAAAGATAATCGTCTTTCTCTTCCGAAATCATTCTCAATTTCCCTTTTTCATCCACAATGTTTAAGAAAAGGAGAAAGTCGTCTAATTTTTCTTTTTCATGCGACCAGAATGTGGAGTAATCATCTATATAGCGCATAATTACTGTTTGCTGTTGAGGTGTCATTTTGATACCTACTCCAACCTATCCATTTAGAAATTAGCCAACAGAGGTGAGAATGGTGAGCACATCTGCAGACCAAACGAGGTCGAACAAACACTATACCTACAAGCGTTGGTTCAACCTCGTTTTTGTAACTTGGTCAGAGCATCAGGGGGATCTTGCGGAGCTTATCTAGTGCTAAATCCTCTCCAATAGAATTCGAGACTTCCGGCATAGGGAAATGTACTTAGTACATTTCCAGACGTTTTGCCAGCATCGTCTGTGAAATGCTCCATCGTTAGCACAGAGTTACAGCCTATCAGTGACAAGTTAAGGCGGTCCCTTTGAAAAAATTTCTGTTTAATCATCGTGGCATCATTCCGAGCCCTTAGTCTTTGTCATATCTACTAGTATAGCATATATTTCGCTCAACCCCATTTTAATTGGCCCATTTACCTATTCACAGCATTCAATGCTATCGTTTTCTCCAATGCCGTCTAAGAATGCGTCGCCACAGGTGGAGTTAGTGAAGCGTAAACGCCTTCACCACCGGTTCCATATACCGTTTGCAGTTCTTCTAGCTCCTGGCTATCTACCCTTCTTCCCCGTTTGCCAAATGGTCCCTGCTACACATCACAATCAATGTCTGGTTGTTTGGAATCTGGCTGACTATGATCTTTTAATTCTCGTCCCTGTTTACGTCATATTCGAGGATTTAGAGCCGGTGATGCCCGTGCCTAGACATCTTCCTCTCCCTCGGCTTCGGAACCATCAAACAGTTATCCTATTTCTTATCTCTATCCCCATTGTAAATATCCTTTGCTGTACTGTGTCCTGCTTAATTACCAACCGCTGGTATGAAAATGCACCGCTTCCCTTTTACCTTTCTTGAATATCATAAAGCATAAAGCTCTTCTTTCTCAAATTTACAGTCACATCTAATTCTAGGGCACATTTTAGTTGTTCAAGTGTTCGTTGTTTGGTATCCTCCCTCGGTCAAGCATGCCATAAGTCATCTATGATCGTGACACACACCTGAAAAATGCACACATACAAGAACACACATGTAGACTTGGGGCCTATCTCTGGCACACTCCTACTTTTAGCCTATTAGCTCTAATGAAGCATAATCTACCTGTTTTTGGCTTCCAATTTCCTATCCCACATCCCATGGGTTGACACACACCGGTAAATGTTAACGCCGATTCCTAATTTGACTCCTATAACTGCATATCTGAGTTACTATTCGGTTTGCCTATGGGCTCACCAATCTAACCTC